GCAACATCTACAGAAGAAAGGATGGGCTGTGAACAGCACCAAGGTTCAGGGACCTGATTTGTCTGTAAAGTTCTTGGGGGTTGTCTGGTCAGGTAAAACTAAAGTTATTCTAGAAAGTCACAGACAAGGTTGAGGCTTTTCCTACCCCTACCCACTGTGGCAGTATACAAGAGTTTTTGGGTCTTTTGGGTTACTGGAGAGTGTTTATCCTGCACTTGGCACAAATTCTGAAGCCCTTATACCAGTTGGTATGAAATGGCATCAGGTGGGACTGGTATGAAACATATGCAGCTGCTTTTACTGCTGCTAAGTGAGCAGTCAAGGCTGTAGAGGCATTGAGTGTAATGGACTCATCAAGGCCCTGTGAGCTACACGTTCATGTAACCGAAGATGGTTATGGATGGGGGTGGTCTTTGGCAGTGGCTTGAATGGACACACCAACCTATTGGACTCTGGTCACAACTGTGGAAAGAAGCAGAAGCAACTGGCTGCTGTGTATTATGCCTTACTGGCTACAGAGCCCATCAACAGAACAGATCCAATCAATGTAATAACCACCTCTCCCATCACGGGGTGGGTGTGAGAGTGGACCCAAAGGCCATGCAGTGCTGGGGCAAAGACGCCTACACTGGCTAAATAGGATGCATATGTACAGCAACATGGTGCCCTCTCCAAAGGCCTCTTAAGTGGAGAACTCCAACACTTAACTGGGGCCAGTGACATGTACCAGTGGAAAGCAGGAAGAACTTGCTTTTGAGCCATTGGTAGTCAAGAGCCCTATCAGGAGAGAAAAGCCCCTATACTTGAAGATGCTTAGTATACAGACAGCTCCAGTCATGGGCAGCCCCAAAGGTGGAGGGCTATGGCTTTCCATTCTAAGACTGAAACAATATGGATGAAGGACAGAGAGGGGAAGAGGAGCCAATGGGCTGAGATGTGGGCAGTATGGCTCATGATCAGCCAAGAGCCTTCTCTGATAGTTGTCTGCACTGACAGGTGGGCCGTCTATCGAGACTTGACCCCGTGGCTACCAACATGGTACACATGCTAACTGGATGGTTGGTCACTGGTCCCTTTGTAGGCAAGAGTTGTGGCAAGACCTATGGGCCTCTAGTCAGACTAATAAGACAGTTGCCATAAGTCATGTGACTGGCCGTTTGCCATTGGTATCCCCAGGGAATGATGAAGCAGACACATAGGCCCACATGTGCTGGCTAGAAGGAAAGCCTCCCTCTGATGTGGCCCAATGGTTGCATCGGTGTTTGTTGCACACAAGGCAAAAGACAATATGGGCTGTAGCCTGTTGGTGGGGCTTGTCATTGGCCTTTGAAGAAGTTAGCAGAGCCAGGAAGGAGTGCCTTGTGTGCTCTAAGAGGGACTTACACCGAGTCCTGGAGAAACATGGGACAATAGTAAAGGGGCTGATACCACTTGTCAGGTGACAGATAGACTACATTGGGCCTCTGCCCATATCAGAAGGATATCGCTATGTAATGACTTGTGTGAACACAAACTACTGGACTGTTGATTGCTTTTCCTGCACATCGTATAGATCAGCAAACCACCAAAAGGGGCCTAGAGCATCTCTTTGCAGCCTATGGCTGGCCACAGCTGATTGAGAATAATCAAGGCACCCACTTTCCTGGACATGCATAATGGATGCAGCAATTAGGAACAAAGCAGAAGTTTCATGTACCACATAACCCTACCAGGGCAGGCATGATAGAGAGATACAATGGTTTGTTGAAATCTGGCCTGAAGTCAGACACCAGTAGTCTATAGGGCTAGTCAGTTTGCTTATGAATAGTGCTACGGCATTTGGATGAGAAGCCCCGAAAAGAAGCCTTAAGCCCTGTGGTCATGCTAACACACATTGCTGAATCTCTTATAAAACTGTATATATAAACCAAAGAGGAGTTATTGAAGCCAGAATATGGCCAGCAGAGCAACATCCTGTTGCCAGCCCTAACTGTGTTAAACCCTGGAGACTCTGTTGAGTGGATGTGGCCCTGGACGTTTTGACACATGGACCAATGATGGCTGGCCCTTCTGGCACCTTGGGGAAAAGGCCTGGAACCTGGCCTCCTGTGTTTTCCTGGAGTAACAGCAGAGTGGTCCCCAAAGATAATGGTAGTGTACCTAAAATATCCAGGAGGTAAGAGCAACTTACAGGAAAGTTTTGTTTTATCTTTATTACCAATGCATGTACCTCCCATAGCCCTGTATATTGACCCATCTGCACCCAGGGGTGGGGGTGAAAGTCTGGTACTAGACCAGGACAAGATCCCATTCCTGCCACTATCCTATCACAAGACCACTCTCTTGCATGCATCTTACCTGACAGACAAGATTTGCCTATGCTGGTGTCATCAAAACATGTATCTTATCGCCCTGAAGGTTATTTTCTTCCCTGTGGCCTGGACCCGCCCTCTTGTTGAAGCTGCCACATGATGATTGCTCTGAACTCCCTACCTGTTTAGCTACTGACCACCTGTGGAATGGGTGAGCGATGGACTAAATCTGTACAGAACTTTGAACCTAGCTGAATCCTCCAGCTCGGGTATTATCATAATTTTATTGCTGTTGACATTATATGTCATTAGTCTGGTTACAGTGCTTCAGTTTTCTTGCAAAGGGGCCACTGAAGAAGATGGGGAGTGAGTAGATTGTGAGGCGAGATTTCTGGAGGGGTGGGCTGTGGGTACAACTGTAACATTTCTAGAATCTCTCGCCTGGCCTTAGTGCATCTCCACATAAATAGGTGTTTCCAAGGGGTAGAGAGAAGTAGTTCATCTCCATATCAATAGGTAATTACAAGGGTGAGTTAGGGCATATCTGGACCAGAGAGGTTTGGTGGGGTCCCTTTTTGCAGCTAGATTGCTAGAAACACAGGCGAAAAGAAGTGGATGACTGCTTGTAGGAAATAAACAGGTTTCTCCCACTTTATTTCTCCCTTTTACTGATTTTAGTTCAAAGGTATTTTGTACCGGCTGAGAAAATATTATCCTCCCAGGAGTTACATATGCCCTAAGGCAACCTGATTTAGACATAATTTTCCCGAGTTTTTGTGTGATCTTATACTTTTCTCTTAAACTTATGAGAATTTTATATTCTATTCCAGGACAGACCTGTGTTTGTTTTAACCTAGAATACCAACCACCCTTCTCACCAAGTTAATTATTACTAAGCCTAAGACTCAAAAATACCTACACGGAGGGAAGTAAATGTTACCAGTACTGAAGAGAAGATGCAAATATGTATGTCATTACATGAAGAAGTAGAAGTACTTATGCTCTAGTTGTAAGGAACTGTGGCTGAAAATAGTAGGAGTAAATGACAGAAGTGCCTGCTCCTCAAAGGGAGAGGCAGAATTTGGATGGAATGGAGTGACAGTCAGATGAGATTCCAAATAAACCCCAGAATTCACAAATATAATGTTCTCTAAATGTGTGTATGAACTGAGTGTGAAAAACTAAGGGTCTTAAGTTATTGTGATAACAAAAGGATAAAGGAAGTTTCAGTAATACCTAAATGTAAAGGGAACCCAAATTTACCCATGCAGGTAACAAGAAAATGGATACGTGCTCTACATTAAGCCAGAGCATTATCTGAAGCAAACTCACAATCTGCCTAACTTCTTTGCAGGGTTCTCTTAAACTTTTTCATACCTTCTCTCACTTATTTTTACAGGCCATCATCACACTGCTTCCTAGGTTTGGTTTAATATAGATCCAAAAAGCCAAAATGTCTGTGATACACAGAATGGTTTTTAGTCTGATAATTTCAATTTTAAACATCATAGAAATGGCTGTAGGCTCCATAGCAAGAACGCTAGAAAACCTGAGGTGAATATACCATTAATCTATAATGTTAACTATGAGAAGGGGGGAAAAGACAACTAATTCAGAATTTTGATATAAAGTAGACCCTCAAAAAAACATGGGTTTGAACTGTGTGGGTGCTCTTATATGTAGAGTTTTTCACTAAATGCCACACATAGTACTGTAAATGTCTTTTCCTTATGATTTTCTTAATAATTTTCTTTTCTCTAAATTAAGTTTTTAAAATTCTAATATATATATATATAATGTGTTGACTGTTTATGTTATCATTAAGGCTTCCAGTCAACAATAGGCTATTAGTGATTAAGTTTTTGGGGAGTCAAAGTGTTATACTCTGAATTTTAACACATGTGTGAGGCATGTCAGCATTGCTAACCATTATACTGTTGAAGAATCAATGTATATTTAAAAAGAAGTCCACAAAATTCTAAAAGTTAACTTACTGCTTTCTTAAATAAAAGTTCTATACATTTAACCTATAAAAGAAATATTCTGAACTATATTCTAATCCAGGTTTGGCAAACTTCTTTGAGGATCAATAAGTATGTATTTTAGGCTTTGTAGGCCAAGAGGCAAAACCAAGGATCTGATACAAAGGCCTCTGTTGTAACTATTTAACTGCTGTTGTAGCAATTTTCACATGCCTTCAAATATTTTTACTTTTTTTCAATCATTTACAAATGTAAAACTATCCTTACCACACAAGCCATACAAAAGCAGGTGGTGGCCAGATACAGCACATGGCCATACTTTGTCAAACTCGTTATAGCCTAAAATTGACTTGAAAAAGGAAACTGATGGTGCTTGTAAAAAATATTTTCCTATTGCTAAGGAAAAATATACAAAAAAGGAAATGAAAGAGATATAAAATAGTATATACAGTATGAGCCCGGTATGTGGAGAAAAGTGTGTGTGCATATATGTGCATATATGCAAACATATCTACTTGTGTATAAAGCATAAATAGGATCTAAGCAATTATGTAAAAATGTTAACAGTAGATAAAGGGTATGTTCTAGTTTCTCTTTAAATGTTTTTCTTTTCCAAATCTACACTGAACATATAATACTTATATAATTAGAAAAAATACAACAAACAAAAAAAATCCTGATTTTTGATCTGACTTTTTATGATTTAAAATACTGATCTTACACATACCTTTGAGGGTTCGCACCTGGTTCTGCTTGAGTACAGAGTTTAAGTAGTGAGGTGATAAAGAGCCACTGAAAAATAAAAAGGTAAAACAAATATGCTTATAAAGATATTTCACTTTTTTATGGAACTTAGTCACAAATAACACTAATCTGAACAATAAAAAACAAATTATTTTACCTTGTTTTTTTGCTAATACTATGCCGTTTAAGCAGAATATGCCAAAGCAGAAAGAGAAAAAGATCCAAGATTAAATCACAACTATTTGGATGTCCTTGGGCAAAATAATTACCTCATACATTTTTCATCTGTAAAATAGTAATAATTAAACCTCCCACATAGGGTTGCTATGATAATTAAGTGAGAATAACACATTTAAAATGCCCAGAATCAGTTTGGGATGGTAAAAGGATGGCAGAGCAGGAAAGCTAGGCAGAAACCTCCTTTCCCTGCCACACACACACCAAGGAAGCAACTACAGCAAATACAACTAAACCTGAAAGTGATTTGAAGGTGGCAGAACAGACCACCTACACCCAGTGAAGAAGAGAAGACCACACAGAGAAAGATAAAGAGGCAGAGCCATGATCAAGCTGGACCCAAGCCCTTCTCCCATCCCAGTCCACAGGTAGGAGGAAAGGGAACAGAGCAGGGAGGGAACAGGAGCCCAGGAACTCTGCTCACCTGGCCCTGGAGATATGCACTGGGAGAATGAGTCCACATTACATTGAGTTCTGGTGATTAGCAGAGCTGGACACCAGGGATGCTGATAAGCCACCCACTTATGGAGGAGAGGCATGCTACACCAGTCCCACTGAGACCCAAAGCAGAGCTGCAGTTTGACTTACCAGCAATAGGAGGGGTGCCCGAGGGGCAAGGGTTGGATGGAGATCTCTCCTCAGGAGAAACAGCAGGTGGACATACCTCTCCATCCTTCCCTCAGCCCAACAGGTCTGGCACCCTCGGGAGCCACAGATGCTCCATCTGCCTGGCTAGCGGCTGAGCCCAGAGACACTTCCCTCTATAACTTCCAGTATGCCAGCCAGCTAGGCCCAGCAGCATCAGATTTTGCTGGCTGGTAGGCAGAAGGAGGCTCTGCCAGCTTTCTCAGCCGTTTCAGCTAATTACAGAAGTACCTGTAGAGGTGAGGTTCCAGCACATGTTCCTCCCTACGGGTGGCCAGGTCTGGTGCTACATGCCATGCTGAACCAGGGGGCACCCTTGCAGCTCACTGCTGCAGGATGCACTGCCATTGCAACTGGATGTGCCCCCACCATACCCTAGAGCTGTGCAATTTAACCCTGTAGCCCTGCAATCACCATTGTGGAAGGGCAAGCAGAGGGTGGGTGCAGAGGATACCCCACCGACAACAATCCCAGCAGAAGGCACTGCTCTGATCAAAAAGGGCCAGCTGAAGCAAACTGACACCAGCAGTGGACTAAGATAAACTGCTGCCAGAAGACAGAAAGGTGGCCCTGCCCATTGCCCTCCAACAGCAACCAGGGCTCCACTGCAACAGAGAACCAGGCACTGGAGAGTAAAGAGTCTTGAGTTTCTGGATAGAGTCACAGGACAGCTTCTTCACAGAGTCATTACTCTCCAGATGAGGAAGCATAGCAGATCCCTCTACTACAAAGGAGGAAAAACAGAAACCCTGAGAAACTGAGGAGGCAGAGTATGTTCCAAACAAAATTACAGGATAAAACACAAGAAAGGAGGCTAAATGAAACAGAAATTATCAGTCTTCTTGATAAAGATTTCAAAAGTCATAAACATGCTATAACAATCCAAGGAAAAGTATTTAAGATCCCAGAGAGGACTTCAACAGAGAAACAAAAGGTGAAAATGGGCCCCTTAGAGATGAAGAATACAGTAACTCAAATGAAATACACAATGGAGGGAATGAATAATAGATTGCTGCAAGTAGAGGAGACAATCAATGGGCTAGAAATTAGAGAACACCAACACAATAAAGCTAAGGACCAGAGAGAAAAAAGGATCTCTAGGAAAGAATGATAAGAGAGCTCTGTCACCTATCCAAATGGAACAATATTCACATAGGAGAGATACCAGAAGGAGAAGAGAGAGATAAAGCAATAGAAACTCTCTTTGAAGAAATAATTATTGAAGACTTCCCTTATCTGGGGAAAGAAACAGACACCAAGGTCATGGAATCACATATAACCCCTAACAAAAGGAACCCCAGGAAGACAACATATAGACATATAAAAATTAAAATGGCAGAGATTAAGGATGAGGAGAGATTACTGAAAGCAGCCAGAGAAAGAAAAAACATTACTTATAAAGGAAATCCCATCAGACTATCAGCAGACTTCTCAGCAGAAACTTTACAGGCCCGAAAGGAGTGAATATTTAATGTACTGAATATAATACATTAAGTATACAATTGAGTATAATATATGGGCTATAAATTTACGTAATGACATGAAATATTTAATGTATTGAAACAGAAGGACCTTCAACCAAGAACCTACTAGCCAGCATGATTATCATTCAAATTGAAGCAGAGATTAAATAATTCCCAGATAACCAAAGGTTCAAGGAATTTATAATCACTAAAACAGCATTACAAGATATGTTAAAGGGACTGCTGTAGATGGAAATGTTCCTAAGGCTAAATAGTTTTCACCAGTGAAAATAAACGCACAGTAAAGATAAATTAATTACCAAGCCAAGAACAAAACTAAAACAAAAATAGTAAAACCTACTATACACAAAATTAGTCAAGGGATACACAAGAAGTGCATATTATGCCAATATATGAAGTATGAAGGAGAAAGAAGAAAAAAGTACTTAGATTGTATGTGAAGTAGAGCAATAATCAACTTAATATAGACTGTTATTATATAGCCAGAAAGCTATCTTTGAACCTTATAGTAACCAAAAATCTAAAGCCTATACTAGGTACACAAAAAAATTAAAAAAGAGGAATCCAATCACAACACTAATGAAAAGCCATCAAATACCAAGACAAGGGTATAAGAGAGGAAGAAAAGAACTAAGAGGAGCTATAAAAACAACCAGAAAACAATAAAATGGCAGGAAATAATTTCCTATCAATACTGTCTTAAATGTAAATGGACTGAATGGACCAATTAAAAGACAGAGTTGCAGAATGGATAAAGAAATAAGACCCATCTACATGCTGCCTTCAAGAGACTCATTTCAGACATAAAGACATACACAGACTAAAAGGGAAGGGAAAGAAAAAGATATTTCATGCAAATAATAGGGAGAAAAAAGCAGGAGTATCAGTACTTATATAACACAAAGCTGATTTCAAAACAAAAAAAGTAACAAGAGACAAAGGACATTATATAATGATAAAGGGGTCACTCCAACAAGAGGATATAACCATTATAAATATCTATGCACCCAACACAGGAGCACCTAAATATGTAAAACAAATACTAACAGAATTAAGGGGGAAATAGATGGCAATATCTTCATTTTAGGGGACTTTAACACACCATTCACATCAATAGATCAACCAGATCAGATGTACTTAACAGATATCTACAGAACATCCACAAAAAAGCAACAAGATACACATTTTTCTCAAGTGTACATGGAACTAGGCCCCAAAGAGCCTCAATACATTAAAAAAAATTGAAATTGTATCAAGCAACTTCTTAGACCACAGTGGTATGAAACTAGAAATAAATTACACAAACAAAATAAAAAAGGCCACAAACACATGGACTCTAAACATCATGCTTCTAAATAATCAATGGATCAATGAACAAATTAAAATAGAAATCAAGCAATACAAGAAGACAAATGAAAACAAAAACACAACAGCCCAAAACCTGTGGGATGCAGCAAAGGCAGTTCTAAGAGGAAAGTATACAGCAATACATGCTTATCTCAAAAAACAAGAACAGTCCCAAATAAACAGTCTAAAATCACAATTAAAGGAACTAGAAAAAGAACAAATGAAACCCAAAGTTAGTAGAAGGAGGGACATAATAAAAATCAGAGCAGAACTAAATAGGTAAGAATAAAACAATAGAAACAATCAATGAAACCAAGAGCTGGTTCAGTGAGAAAAAAGTAAGATAGACAAATCCCTAGCAAGACTTGTCAAGAAGAAAGGAGAATGTACAAACATAAAATCAAAAACGAAGAAGGAATAATCACAACAGACACCACAGAAATACAAAGAACTATTAGAGAACACTATGAAAAATTACATGCCAATAAATTGGACAACCCAGAAGAAATGGACAAATTTATAGAAAAATATAACCTTCCATGACTGACCCAGGAAGAACAAAAAATATGAACACACCAATTACCAGCAATGAAATTGAATTGGTAATCAAAAAACACCCAATAAACAAAAATTCATGTCCCGGTGGCTTCACAGCTGAATTATACCAAATACTTAAAGAAGAGCCAATACCCATCATACCAATCCTTAAAGCATTTCAGAAAGTAGAAGAGACAGAATACTTCCAAACTCATTCTATGAGGCCAGCATCACTCTAATACCAAAACCAGGCAAAGACACTACTGAAAAAGAAAATTATAGCGCAATGGCCCTTATGAGAATAGACGCAAGAATCCTCAACAAAATATTAGCAAACTGAATTCAAAAATACACCAAAAGGATTATCTATCACAACCAAGTGGGATTTACTCCAGATATACAATGATAGTATAAAGTCATAAATCAAACAATACTAACAAAAAGGATAAAAAAACACTTGATCATCTCAACAGAGACTGAAAAAGCATTTGACAAAATTCAATATCTATTTATGATAAAAAAAACTCTCAACAAAATGGGTATAGAGGGCAGTATCTCAACATAATAAAGGCCATATACAACAAACCTACAGTTAACATCATACTCCGTGGAGAAAAGCTCACCACTTTCATTCAACACAGTACTGGAGGTCCTAGCCATGGCAATCAGACAACACAAAGAGATAAAAGGCATCCAAATTGTTAAGGAAGAAGTTAAACTCTTTTTGCAGTTGACATGATTTTATACATAGAAAAAAAAACCATAAGGACTCCATCACAAAGCTATTAGAAGTAATAATTGGATTCAGAAAAGTTGCAGGATAAAAATAAACAGAAATCTGCTGCATTTCTATATACTAACAATGAACTAACAGAAAGAAAAATAAAGAAAACAACTTTATTTACAACTGCATCAAGAAGAATAAAATACCTCGGAATAAACCTAACCAAGGAGGTGAAAGACTTGTACTCTGAAAACTATAAGACACTCATGAGAGTAATTAAAGAAGACACAAATATATGGAAATCTATCCCAGGCTCATGGATAAGAAGAATTAATATTGTCAAAATGGCCATCCTGCCAAAGCAATTTATAGATTCAACACAGTCCCTAGCAAAACACCACCAGCATTTTTCAATGAACTAAAACAAACAGTTCTAAAATTCATATGGAACCACAAAAGATCCCAAATAGACAAAGCAATCTTGAAAAAGAAGAACAAAGCTTGGGGGTATTATGTTCCTTGTCTTCAAGCTATACTATAATGCTACAATCATCAAAACAGTATGGCATTAGCACAAGAACAGATGCATAAATCAATGGAACAGAATAGAGAGCCCAGATATAAAGTCATACATAATATGATCAATTAATATATGATAAAGGATCCATGAATATACAATAGAGAAAAGACAGCCTCTTCAATAACTGGTGTTGACAAAACTGAACTGCTACATGCAAGAGAATGCAACTAGATTATTGCCTAACTCCATGCACAAAAGTTAACTCAAAATGGATCAAAGACCTGAATATAAGTCATGAAACCATAAAACTGTTAGAAGAAAGCATAGGCAAAAATCTCCTGAATGTAAGTATGAGCATTATTTTCCTGGGTACATTTCCTCAGGCGAGAGAAACAAAATAAAAAATGAACAAGTAGGACTACATCAAAGTAAAAAGCTTCTGTACAGCAAAGGACACCATTAGCAGAACAAAAGGACAACCTACAGTACGGGAGAATATATTTGAAAATGACTCATCTGATAAAGGGTTAACATCTAAAATATATAAAGAACTCAACACCCAAAAAACAAATAACCCAATTAAAAAATGGGCAGAGAACTTGAACAGACAGTTCTTCAAAGAAGAAATACAGCTGGCCAACAGGCACATGAAAAGATGCTCCACATCACATGCATCAGGGAAATGCAAATTAAAACCACAGTAAGATATCATCTCATACCAGTCAGAATGGTTACTATCCAAAAGAGAAGAAATAACAAATGTTGGCAAGGATGTGGAGAAATAGGATCCCTCCTACATTGTTGGTGGAAATGTAAATTGGTACAACTGCTGTGGAATGCAGTGTGGAGGTTCCTCAAAACACTAACACTAATCCTACTTTTAGGAATTTACCAAAAGAAAACAAAAATTCCTGATTTGAAAAGACACATACACCCCCCACCCCCATGTTCATCGCAGCACTATTTACAATAGCCAAGGTATGGAAGCAACCTAAGTGTCCATCAATAGATGAATGGATAAAGAAGATGTGGTACATATACACAATGGAAAATTATTCAACCATAAAATGAAAAGAAATCCTATTTACAACAACATGGATGGATCTAGAGGGTATTATGCTCAGTGAAATAAACCAGGCAGAGAAAGACAAACACCACATGATTTCACTTATTTGTGGAATACAAAAACAAAGCAAAACAGAAGGAACAAAACAGTGGTAGACTCACAGACTCTGAGAAGTGACTAGTAGTTACCACGGGGGAGAGTTTGGGGTGCATGGGTGGAAAGGGTGAGGGGGATAAAGGCACACAAAAATTCTCAATATAAGTTGGTTATGGGGATAGTAGTACAGCATGGAGAATATTGTCAATGATTCTGCAACATCTTTCTATGTTGAGACAGTAACTGCACTATAGGGGGTGAGGATTTAATAATATGGGTAACTGTCTAACCACTGTGTTATATATTTGAAATCAATATAAGATTGTATATCAATGATACTTCAATAAAAAAAAACTCAAAAAAAGCCAAGAACAAGAGAAAATACATAGTAGTTACTATCTGGTTTTGCATTTGATGCTTAAGTTTGATATGATGTTAATATAGGTGTTACCACAGAAATAAAAGCATTTATCAAACACGTTTAAGGAGGAAGCAAAACAGATAAGCTCTTGATTTTATTAATAAATATCAATATAAAAAATAAACTCTTTATATTAATGAACAGAGACCATAAGTTTTTTTTTAATTTGAAAATTAAAACATTTTTGGGACAAACTACTTCTGTACTTGGAATTTATTATATGCTAACTAAAAGTCTATCTCCTATCCAGAGTTTTACAGATATTATTGTTATCATTTCTCCTCCTCAGAGGTACTAATTATGACATAAAGGGCAACAAAGGTCTACCAGATGGAATTGTCACTTTGTCAAACAATGAAAGAGTAAATTTTTCTAAAAATAGTAAGGTAACATTTTTAAAGTCAAATATTATAACCTTTATGCTGTTGTCATTTTATCATTGTTTTTAAACCATAAAACCATCTTTAACATCTAAACATATGATAAAGCTAAAAATCATAAACATGAAAATGAACCATATTAAAGGCATGGTATGTTTTTGATGGTATATGAAAAAGTGCCATTTCTCTCAGTTAATCTTAATGAAAAAACAGCATAGCTAACTAAAACACATAAATAACCAATACTGAAACTTATCATTGGTTTCTAAATTATTATTTTTAACTAGGACATTTTATAAGCAACAGCATTAATAAAGAAGACATCAACTCCCAAACAATGAGGTTATAAACTGTGATATCTTCTTTTCTAGGTTCCATTTCATAAATATAAACCACTCTGTTGTTCTTGTTACAATGATCCTTCTAATCTACTAATATGGTAAACAAGCTTAAAAACCCAGTGAGTGTGAATATATTTATATATTATATGTAATTTATTTATAATTTGTATATATTATAAATATGTATGTATTCAATATATATTATATAATTTATATACTACTGACATTTCAACTTGAGCCATACTAATTTTTTTACTGTATTTTAGATACAACCACTCCTCCAAAAGTTATTTAATAATAATTTAAGAAATTAAACACTCTAGGAAATGCTGATAATTGTAGCTGGAAGTTCACTATAACTTTCTCCCTACTTTTGTGTATGTTTAAGAAAATTTCCAATTATTATTTTATTAAAAAGCTTTAAAAAATTTTCAAAAACCCAATTAACCATGGGTACTACTCTTAAAGGTATCCTGACAAAATCTGACATTTTCAACTCAAATAAATGTACATAATAGAATTCAGGAAAAAGATTCTAAAGGTTTCTTCAGGAAAAGGAAATAAAATCAGATTTAAGGTCATCATTTTTAGATATGACTTAAAATGGGAAAGCTGTAAGATCAATGGGAGTCACTGAGTTGAAAACAAAAGCAAAGGAAATACACTGCGCTTATATTTGTGAGCAGAAAGAAAAGAAAATACTCCAAGGCATTATTTTAATTGTCAAACATTTTAAAATTCGAGACTTGAACATAATTTTCAAATATTAAATGTGCTGTGAAAGAGAAAAAAAACTTAAAATAGAGAAAGAAATATAAATATGTACATGAAATGACAAACTTTTAATCACCTTTTTTAAAAATGTTTAAACATACTTTCAATTTCTTACATCTCTAGGCCAGCATTAGTATTGCAGACAATTAAAGTGATTTAACCTTTTTGTACCTGGAATCATATAACAACTTTCTTTAGCCTTCTGTTAAATATGTCCAGTATTGAGTACATTTTCTAGAATTTATGTTCTCACTTATCCAATATCTTGTTTTCTAATGACCCAAGTTAGACTATAAGTAAGAATGCCTTATGCAATGTCTTATCCATAAAGAATTCTCTGTACAATGCAAAACTCCAAAAACCTACAACTTTGTTAGGTTTCTTCATCTCATATAATGAAAACTTACAAATCACCACTGACACTTATATGGAAGATCCTGTACCTTTGCAGAGATGTAGGAGGGGTGTACCGTGTTAATGCTGAGGAATAAGGTTGTTTCTTCAGTGCCTGCATTAGGTTGGGTTTATATTCTGGATCAACGCACCATAAGGAACCTTTTCCATTAACCTAGGATAAAATATACAAGAATTAATAACCTGGAACATTAGGACATACACAATCAGTTTCTGAATGTTTTTAATTAATGTGTATGGGGGGTAAAAAACGCTATAGTACCTTTTGAGTACAGTGCAAAGGTTGAAGTAAGCTTGCTAGGAACGCGTTATGTGATAAAATATTAATAACCTGGAACATTAGGACATACACAATCAGTTTCTGAATGTTTTTAATTAATGTGTATGGGGGGTAAAAAACGCTATAGTACCTTTTGAGTACAGTGCAAAGGTTGAAGTAAGCTTGCTAGGAACGCGTTATGTGATAAAAAGCCCTGGAGGTAGACTACCTGGATTCTTATCTCCAGTTCTCCCATTTACCTGCTTTTTGACCTTAGGTAAGTTAACCAACCTCTCATCTCTATAGGTCATTATTCCTTCATTTGTAAAGTAGGGATGGATGATAACACTACCAACTCATGGGGTTGTTATGTGGATTAAATTATGCATAAAATATTGTGCACAGTTCCTAGCACAAAAGGCCATAAGGCTGCACAACTCTAGGACATGCCATTTATATCACAGTCTGTAAGACTGGTACAACTCCCAAGTTGTACAGTGAACAGCATGGGGTGCTGTACAAGGGGGCCTTCAACAGGCTAAGATGAAACATGTTAGTCATTACTATTATAGAAAAACTAAAAATAAAAGGAAAAATTGAACTTTCTGTTCAGCATCATTTCCTCAGAAATAATAAGCAATATGACGTTGGGTGATACATCCAAAAATTTTTATTTTTAATGGCATTAATGGTAATGGAAAGTTTAAGTTTCCATTAGTTTAGTAAGTTTAAATTTAAAAAATTTTTACTTAAAATTTTAATGAAAAGCATGGCTAAAGTCTCAAGAGTAGTAAGTCAACAACTGAGGTACAGAAGATTCCAAAAAAACATTAAGAAAGAGAAAGTAGAGTCACTTCACTCAAGATGATTAAGTTACAACATTTGCGGGACTTCTGGATAATATGGCAATTACCACAGAAACCCCGATTCCACTGAAATAATCAAAAGAATCTAAAAATTATGCAATTTGTATAATTACTATAACTAAGAAACCATAAACAAAAGTGCTTGCTAAATTGCAAATGGGAGGTGCCTGAAAGAAGGGCTTGCTTAACCCACAGTTCCCCAAATGTGAAGAAACAGCTTACCAGGGAGGTAAGCAGACAATGAAGAACCTCACTAATAATTATCTAACATGCCAAGCTTCAAACAGGTTTGGAAAATGATGCATTTTTACCTCCCTCCTCCTTAGAAGGTCACATTACATATCAGCAGATTATGGAATCTAAATAGTCTTGTTATTATTAAACCTGCTTTATGTGGTTTCCCAAAGAAAACACAAAAAGGTTCTCTATTTGACAGAGAATCTTTCTCTCAGGTAACATCTGTGGAAGCTAGTGCTTTGTGGAACATTTATGAAAAAACTGAATTAAGCAAATTATTGTAGAAGATACTTTCTAAATATTAATAGAAAAAACTGCAAACATTGATTAGTCCATGAAAGAAAATAAATTCCCCTTTAAAAATCACAATTTCATACTCTGGTGTGAAAAGAAAAGGTTAATAATCCCAACAATAACAAAATTCTCTCATTACATTGAAATTTATAAACACTTTTGGACTGAAAAAGTATCCAAATTACAATTACAGATTAATAAATAAAGGATATTAGAAACAAAGTTATATCAAAACTAGCAGATGTAGCCAAAGCTGTACTTAGAAGCAAATTTAAACACTCACTTTCATTCTTAAACAAGAACTAAAATATCTGAAACAGATGTTTATCACATCTAGGGGGAAAAAAGAAAATTATATAATATTATATAATATAAATATAATGTAAAAATAAAATTGGAAATAGTAGAAGAATGGAATTGACGAATTTAAGAGAGTATTCTTTTAAAAAAATCAATATGCTACACACCCAAGTTGAATTAGGCCAACAAAATAACTGAAGAACTTCAGGAGCTGTGATATCACTTACTAACTCTTCCTTGAAGATAAATCTTTCCTACTTCCTTAGCTAAATATCCCTACCTGCTCATCATCCTGAAGGGACGCCTAACTACAAGCATGCCTATGTATGTACCACATTCACATACAGCCTACACACAGAACTCCACAGCCATGAGAGGAGTAGGTCCAACTGTAATCACATCCCACTTCCTCAAAGCTCAACACTACTTGTTTAGTGGTTTAAGAGTGAAAGCTTTAGAGCCAGAATGCCTACTTTGGAATCCTATCTCTGCCCCTTAAGAGCTGTATAAACCTTTAGAGAAACATCTATGTTCTCTGTATTAGTATGCTTAAAATATATCAATATATAAAATAGTACCTACTTTAAGAATTACTGTATTATAAAAGCTAATTCATGTAAAGTGCTTAGAATACTGTTAGACACATAAGCTCTCAATAAACACTGGCTACTACTATTATATTTTGTATTTATTTTCTTTGTAGTTTTTAAAAACTTGTCCCTGTTTTTTCTAGTTTAACATCCAGTTTACAATGCAAATTTGTTTTTGTTTCTATTCTAATTATTGGAATCAAATTTTAATATATATTTTTGAAGATATTTTTCTCTACAAATGTCAAGAATTAAATATAATAAGGTATAACCTGCCCCCTCTCCCACCACGTGATGTTTAAGACTTCCTCAGAACCTCAGAAGTAATTCACAAGATAGTGAGATTCAAACTAATATTAATTTTTGTTTTTGTATCACACCTTTTATATTTCAAAACTGTTTCTTAGAATTTGAATTACACTTTACAACTACATTAACACTTAGATAACAATAAAATATATGTGTACTCTGCTCCCATGCTCCTTGTTGTTTGTATAAAATCCTATGTGATGTAAGCTATTATAATTGCTAAAGATTTAATGTGTGAACCCCAGAGTGCTTCCACAAACTGTCAAGGTAATATTAGTCTATTCCAAGCTCTTTTATCTCTGAATATCATGTCATAATTATTATAGAATAAGAACACTATTTACAGGTTTAAAAGCTGAGGTCCTAATCATTGCTTACTGACTGGCTATGAGACATTGAATAAGTAATCATTTAATCTCTTTGAGTCTATCCTCTCATTTCCATATTTTATCTATAAAATAAAAAACCACACTGTTTCACTGAGTTGTGATGAGATTCAAATAAAGTAACTTATATTTAAGTGACATAGAGCTGCAAAGTAAGTGAATACTAAGGGGTTCTTCTGAAATTGGAACATAGTAAGAGTTTAAATGGTTTAATAACAGTATAGTCCTAACTCCTTTACTTCTAAGAGATGAGGGAGTTTAAAAATCAACCATAAAAACAAAATCAATTAATTCTGAATAAGACAAAAGTGAAAAACATAGGATAAACTAAATTTAGAAAGGAAAAAAGCGCTTGTCTGAGAAAAACTATGCTAATTGAATGTAAGGCAGTTTAAACATCTTAGCAACTTAAATATACTGGAAAAGAGAAATCATAGATCTTATCACATGGTAACACAGAAAGAAACATAATATATGTTAGTCCAGACAGAGGAAATCCCAGGGCAAAATACCTCTAAAAACCAAAATCAGTCAAAGGGAGAAATAAAGTTTAAAACCCGTTTATTGCTTACAAATTGCAGTCTAGGGCCTGCTCTCTCTCCTGCTCCAGCAGAAGCAAAACCGGCCCTCCTCCTCACCTCTCAGGTACAGATAAGCCCTCTGGTGCCCAGGTAGTTACTCACTGACATGGAGATGAACTTCTTTCCACCCCTGAGGAATGCACTAAAGCCATACTTTTTTCCACCTCTGAAAGCCTACTGATATGCAGATGTACTTAAGCCAGTGAGATATTCTGGAAATATTACAATTTTACCCACAATATACTATCAGGTGAAACTTTTACCTGGCCTTCAGCAGCAAGGTATCATATAAACTATATTAAACAAGTACTTAAAATTTGATTTTTTTCCAAAGAAAGTCAAATTTTACTAACATATTTTGGGATTAAGTGATGAAACTTCTTAAATTATATATATTTTCAGCCACTTGACCCAAATGATAAATGTGTTTCAATGATAGGGAAATAAATGCTAACATCCACAATACCCTTTGCCCCCAAACCATGTCAGTTTCATATAGAAAAGATATGCATGAATTATTTTCATATATTAACTGAGACAATTAGGGAAATAAATGCTAACACCCACAATACCCTTTGCCCCCAAACCATGTCAGTTTCATATAGAAAAGATATGCATGAATTATTCTCATATATTAACTGAGACAATTATTTTAATAATTCTAGTCATGTTCTATCTTGCTATTCCTGAGATTCTCCTATAAACTGTTTAGTCCAAGTTTACTTTTCAAATTCTATTGTGAGAATTGTTTTGGTCATAGTAGAATTGCTATTTCCTTAAAAAAGCAAATTGGAAGAACTGGTACTGAAAACTACAGTTCAGCACAGTTAAGAATCTTGAGTAAGGTCTCCAAATAACAGTCTGGTTTATGTTACCATGGCAGCACTTCCTTTCACTGGGTCTGTTCATGAACTACCAGTAACAAGATATAAAACTACTATGTATTTGCTAATCTATATTTTAGAGTCTATAGCAAAAAGAAACTTACTTTTAACTAACTCCCACTTAAAAACTTTTCCTCTTTATTATCGGGCTTAGTTTGATGGAACATAAATACAAAGAGTTTCAAAAGTTAAGCATTGTTTTAAACTAAATTTGCCTATAACAAGATAAAACTTGTGCAATGGAAACAGGAAATGTGCATTCTCTCATTTACTCTTTTGCATTTTGGAACTCTAAGTCTTCTTGACTTATTAGGCAGAGAACCACTGAAAATGAAAAGAGAACCAAGAAAGGAACTTAAAAAAAAAATTATCTGAATGGAAGTTCTAAAGAATAGATTGAGAGAAGGGGCAATATTCACTATTCCTGAAATATTTTAATGTACTTGCC